TTATTAGCGTATTTTTGTTCTTGCTACCGCATTTTTATCTTTATTACCGTATTCTTATTCTTGATACGTTTTTTATTTTATTACCGTAATTTTGTTCTCATTACAGTATTTTTATTCTATTACCGTATTCTTATTTTTATTACCGTATCTTTATTACCGCTACCGTATTCTTATTACCATATTCTTATTCTTGTTACCGTATTCCTATTCTTGCTACCGTATTTTTATTCCCGTTACCGTATTCTTATTTTTATTACCGTACTTTTGTTCTGGCTACCGTATTTTTATCATTATCACCGTACTCTTATTCTTGATACCGTATTTCTATTGTTGATACCGTACTCTTATTTTATTACCGTATTTTCATTCTTTTTACCGTACTTCTATTCTATTACCGTATTCTTATTCTCGTTACCGTCTTCTTATTTTATTATTGTATTCTTCTTCTTACTACCATTATCTTTATTACCGTATTCTTACTCTTGATACCATTTTTTAATTTATTACCGTAATCTTATTTCCGTATTCTTATTCTTACTACCGCATCTTTATTTCCGTTACCGTATTCCTATTCTTGCTACCGTATTCTTATTCCTATTACCGTATTTTTATTTTCATTACCGTGTCTTTATTTATTACCGTATTCTCAATTTGTTACCGTATTTTTTTGTTACCGTATTTATATATATCACCGTATTTTTATTCTTGTTACCGTATTTTCATTTTATTACCGTATCTTGATTTTCGTTAACGTATTTTTATTCTTATTACCGTATTTTTATCTTCGTCACCGTATTCTCATTTTATTACTGTATCTTTATCATATCACCGTATTATTGTTCTTATTACCGTATTCTTATCCTCGTTACTGTATTCTCATTTATTACCGTATCTTTATTTCCGTTACCGTATTTTTATTCTTATTACTGTATTCTTATTCTCGTTACCGTATTCGTATTCTTGTTACCGTATCTTTATTTCCCTTACCGTATTCTTATTCTTATCACTGTATTCTTATTTTATTACCGTATTTTTATTCTTGTTACCGTATTTTTATTCTTATTACTGTACCCTTGTTCTCGTTGCCGTATTTTTATTTTTCACCGTATCTTTATTTCCATTATTGTATTCTTATTCTTATTACCGTATTTTGTTCTTGCTACCGTATTCTTATTATCGTTATTGTATTCTCATTTTATTACCGCATCTTTATTTCCGTTGCCGTAATCTTATTCTCATCACTGTATTCTTATTTTATCACCGTATCTTTATTACCGTATTTTTATTCTTGTTACCGTTTTTTCATTCTTATTACCGTACTCTTATTCTCGTTGCCGTATTTTTATTTTTTACCGTATCTTTATTTCCATTACCGTATTCTTCTTATTATTACCGTACTTTTGTTTTGGCTACCGTATTTTTATCTTTATTACCGTATTTTTGTTCTTTCTACCGTATTTTATCTTTATTACCGTGCTCTAATTCTTATTACAGTATTTATATTCTTATTACCGTACCTTTATTTTTATTACCGCATTCTTATTCTCGTTACCGGAATCAGTTATTTTTCTTTTTAAATTCTTAACAATTTAAATTATTGGAGAAATATTGTACTGTTATATGGTCATTTTTGTGCAGCAATTTTTCCAGTTTTTGTACGCTTATTTGGCAAAAATGCAAATAGCGATAAATATTTATAATTTTTCATAATCTTTTATCCTACTTATAATTTCGTTGTCACCACCTTTTAATCCGATCCTTTTCCAGGTTTTGCACGGTCGTGTGAAACTTGCAAAAGTCGATTGTGGACTATGGCCAAATGTTTGTCGGAATGTTGGCGTGGCCATTTATCCTACTGTTCGATTTTATGGTGGCTCACGAAATAGTCATATTCAAACAGCTAGTAGAACTTCTATTGAATCTCAAAACGCAGATAATATTGTGTATCAAACTGAGAAAGAACTGGTTAAAATAAATCGTCTTTATAAGACTGAATTATAACGGATTATTCTAATAAATCGATTTTGTTTTCCTGTCCTAAATTTTAGTCATCCAGTAAAGAATGCAGAAATCCCTATTTGAGCAATTTCAAATTTTATTTTCAAGTTATGGAACTTCATTATGGCTAGCAAAGAGATCAGAAAAAATTAAATACCGTATGGAGCAAAAATTTACCGCTTTTTCTGATGGTTAAAAATATTTTTACGTTGGAGTATTAATAATGAATACATATATTTCACTGATATGCATTATGTTGACCTGTTTTATGTGCCTTCTATTTGATTCGAATTTTTCTATATTCGTATTTTCACTTGCTAAAATTTCTTTATGATTTTCAACCTTATTCTAAGTTTCTCCTCTTCATTCTAAATAATTTCCTGTAGTTTAATACTATTTCATGCCTTTTCCATTTATGCATAATTACATATTCCTATTATTCTGTAGAATGGTTATTTTTAAGATATACAGAAAGGATTTTCAATGCCTTTTTCCATTGACCTTTAGATATTACTCAAAGTTTTTTTACATGAAAATCATTGTTGATCTGTTATATCAATTTATCTTTTTTCACTTAATTTACCAGCATTTCCATTACACTTTTTATGATCAAGATTTGTGCAAGTTGATACTTATGACTAAAAAAAAAATTCTTTTTTCAAAGAGACCTTAGGCATGAAAATACAGAACGGAAGCAAGTTTCCGATTATAAAAACTATATATATATATATATATATATATGGTTATAAAAACTACGAAGACTGTAAGACAACATCGGTCAAATACTAGAATAGTCACCCTGAGATACTATTTAACTCTCATTACAGTTTGTTATGTATGGAATTTGTCTAGGAGTTTTACAAGCCTCTATGTTAATTAATAGATTGGCGTAACAACTCAAGATGAAGTATTTTATTTATATAAGCTTTGAGAAGAAAATAGGGTAGAATACTATTCTTGGAGGGTCAGAGATCAGGCTGGGACAGGTAATGTCAACCGCCATTAACAAGCGTCTACCAAAGTTTATAGCTTTTTTATATATCTCCTGATGAGTTCTTCGTACTACGTTGTTTCCTCTCCACTTTCAAGCTTGGAAGTCTGTCACTAGTTTGTTGAGAAATGTGCTATCATGTTTTGTTATGTCAACCAAATTAGGACGAACATCGTCAGATCAACTTTAAGAAGTGCCAATTATATCGTTCGAGCTGGAAATAAATTCAGTTCAATCCATTCTCATTCATTATGTCATGATCCACTACTCGGAAAATTCCACGAACAACGAGAAGTAAATCTCGATCCGAACGTAGAACGATTGTGATAATAATGATAAGGCTTGCATGATAAATCACTACCTGTATTCACGATCACACTTTTCAATTTGCAATAACCTGCCAAATTGGACTTCTATGTAGTCATTATTCAAGTTTCCTATTTTCAGAAGGAGATCATTTTGGACTATTGTGTCCCATGCCTTGCAGTAAACTTTACATTAAATTAAAGAAGATTCTACGAACCTACAAATAAAATAAAAAAGAAATACCTGCAAATAAATAAAGCTTACAATTAGCAATAGAATAACTGTTTCAAAAATGAAAACAACATTGGAAATGAGGCAAATTATGTTTATTCCTTTAGTTAAAAAATTTTCTTTTTAAATTCCATACTTATCAATTTGTTTAGCAATCATTTTCCTCGATCATATTGTGACGTCAATGAAGCCATTAGCAGTTTATATTGGAGAAAAGCATTTCTTTACATCATCTTCTTTATAAACTGTCGAAAATGATAATATTCAAGGAAATTTTAAAATCTGGCGTGATCTGACTAATATAAATCAGAAAGAAACACATTGAGGAAATCATCACGCTTTCTACACTATGACTGAAAACACTCGAAAAGTGGAATAAAATTGAATTCACATGAATTCAGCAGAAGTGATTGAGAATACAACGATGGTTTCCACAAAGAGAACGATTTCATTTCACTGAAAACTTTCAGCATTGTTTCACTTTAGAATATTTCTATAAAGTAGAGAAGGGAAATTAAGTGCTAAAAATATCAAATGGTAAATTATTTGAATTTCTAAACTGACAAATCATCTATGTGACACGAGGAATTCGCCATTTCTGTGAAGCGAACTCAGAGTATTTTGGTTACAACTTGCCGATCTTCAAAGTGCTAATGAATTTCAAACAAACATTAAAAATTCCAATAAACTTACGAAAATCAATTTTCTCAGATAAATCAGTTGGGGTTAGAATGAATGCTGCAAGTGCAGTGAGCAAGACATTGTCTTAATATTGAAATTATAACAAACCGTCCTCCGACTTATATTTGTCTAACTCTCCACTGGGAAGTGTAACCCAACAAATTTATTGAAGTTTCTAAAATTGATTCTTTTTTTTTTTTTTTTTTTTGAATATCAGCAGCTAATCCCAAATAAATGTAAGTAGAATTCACAAGCTCTACTGTTGAATGATCAACAGAAAAGCATTATATCTCTCACTGAAAAAATTTTAAATAATCAACTCTTTGTTTTACATCGATTTTCAAATCTAATGGCGGCCCAATGCATATGCAAGATCTAAACTAGAAACTAATTATCAAATTTTGGTAATTCAAATTTAAAACTTTAAATATAAACTTTTTAACAAAAATTCGACATTTAAATAACATGACTTTCATCAAACGGAAGTTGAGTGAAATTTTTATCACTAAAACTAAATTTCACTATAGTAGCATTAAAATTACCAAGACTACAGGGTTTCAACAATCTGTTGCACCGCAAAGTTAAAATCATATCCTCATTAAAATTCTGCTAATGAAGTATCCTTGTTAAGGACTTCACATAAAAACTGCAATTACAATATAGAAATAAATACATTAATATGGTGAATTCATGCCCAATTTCGTATTGAAGTCAAGCTTTCTTCTCCGTTGGTCACGATAATGAAGTTTGATTAAATAAAGCTTGCACAATTCGCTAATAACAATAATCACAGTTACCCAAAAAATGAGATTATTATAACCCAAATGTTGCAGTCAAAAATATAACTCAACAATGAACCACATGAAAGATTTGTATAAGCGATCTGAAACAACATAAATTAAAGTCTTTTGTCTTCTCTTTTTCACCAAATCGTCCATCAGACATTTACTTTTTATATTTTAAAGTGTGGAATTCTTACAACAGGAAGTCAAAATCAGCAAGATCATGTGATCTTGCTGATTCTGATATAAATGACGATTTGTTTAAATGAATTATCATCAAGATGTAAATAGAAATGTTTCCACACCTGTATAAGAATAACGCAAGATGTTACGGCTACCCAATAATAATTATCCAGTGGATATTTCGCCCAGCAGTTATCACGAAAATGAACAAAACCCATTGATAACGTACATAAGTAAAGAAGCAACTAAAAATGGAGTCCAATTACACTACGACAACGATATAAAAATAAAATTTGGTAAAGTACGTAAGACTGTAATATTTTTCTTTTTTCCATAATATTAGCACCGCGTACTATACAATCTGTAAATTTAAGGCCTTTGCAAAAGTTCAACATACATAAAACGAAGCAACATGCTGGCCAATAATAACGGCATGATTAGCAGGATAAAACGAATAGTTGGAACTTCTCTGATATTCATACTTTTTTCTAGTTATCACAACCTGAGATACACAGAAAGAATAAATCTTTGTCTTAGACAGTTCGTTTAAATGATCTTTTATCTCATTTGTGAATTATGTCAAAAATAATTAGTGCTGATTTTGCCAAAAAAACTTTTTACTATATTGCACAAAGTCTGCGAAATATTTCTTTTCTATGATAACAAAAAAATCTGAGCTTGAACTTACGGTGCTATAATAAATAAGACAGACGACGAAAAGAGACGGAAGAAAATTTATTGAGAAATAAATAATCGCACGACGAATGACACGTTTCGGAGCTGAGGAAATGTTTTTCGGAGCTATTTCATCACGATTTACACCAGAGCCACGCGGTGAGGCCATCAGTGATAAGGCTAACACTGGTACATATATAATTATGAATAATAGGACCTAAAATATGTAATCTCGTTTTCTTTACTTACTAGAAATAAACCTGTGAATTGGTTTATTTCAAATAAATGAATAAATAGACACTCGGTAATTTTTTAAACAGAAGATTACTGAATATCAATATGTTCTGTCGCTAAAATCTTCATCTGTTCTCTATATAAGAACAAACCTGAAAAACGGATAAGACATTCGGAAGAAATAACAAAGCTAAAGTTTGCTGCAGCGCAAGTGCTGTCGATGAGAATATAAAAAATAGGAAGGAAGAACGAAACGTCTCTAACTGATGTCGACAAAATGAGATCAATGAAATAAGGTCCAAAGTCTAGAACAAGCATATAAAATGTTTCAAGAAGATGATAATAAATAAACTAATAATATTAAGGTTTTACTTTATCTGTCAATGACAGAAGTGATGCATAGAAAATTAAGTATGGTAAAGCATTATGCTTTTCCTATTTATTATTAACTAGGCTGTCAGCAGTTATATTATTTTTATAGGTTCTGTACAAAAGAAATGAAAACTAAGTTCATTATAAAATGTAGATTAAGAACTGTAGAATGTGTATCTACTAGCATTATTTATTTATAATCATTGTTTAATTGTTGCATTAAAATGCCTCGAATCTCAAAGGCTATCTTACTGGTAATTAGAATGAAAAATAATCAAAAAACCATATGTAAAATAAATACCTGATTTGGAAATACAACAATATCGCAACACAGTCCCATAAGCAATGTAGCGATAACTGATGATTTCAATCCGTTGTCATTCTGGAAAATTTTTTGCTACATAAAGCAGGATGCTGCGGCTCAATAGTGATTGAACAGTTTGCCTATAATAAAGAAAGAACTATTAGAAATTTGCAAAATATGAGAAAAGTTCCAAAATTACAAATTGAAATTATTTACCTGACCAAAGATATTGCTATTGAAATAATTTAACGATGAACCAACAACAAGTACCACTTCACCGTAATCCTAAATTGTAATGATGTAATTGAAATGTAACTTCAGTAACTGAAATATTCAGACAAGAAAACAAAACTGGCAATCTGTTTCCTTTAAAAGCAAAGCTAAAGCAGAGAACACAAGCTAAGCAATCCTAGAACGTAAGGCGCCTTCATTGTGGGACGAATCAAAAACTACGAGAGAGATACGGTCAGCCTCACACAATCTCTTTAATAAATTATAAAAAATAGAAACGAAGCCTAGATACCTGCATTATTTCAATCATTCTTTGACAAGAAAAATGGTCGCAATCTGTGAAAAGATTAACCAAGAGTGGCACATTATCAACATTCTCTAAGTGAGGACGTATATTCTTGATTCCTGGAAATGAAGTTTTGAGCTGATATGAAAATACAAGAAAATTCTGCATCTGAATCTTTTTAAATATGACAAATTCCAAACTCTTATTCCATGCTTCACCTGATGGTAATTTTGCTTTGTTCGGAAAAAACTCCACGCCTGTTTCTTCACTATATGAAAACACTGAATGATGACTTTGACTGTTTTTTAATGAAGCTTCCTCCTAGTAAGAAATTCTCATTACGCACAAAAATTAGTGGTTACAATATAAAATTGGAAAAAAAAAACGCAACTTATGTTGGTAAACAAATAGTAGATCGGTAAACAAACCGCTTTTGATGATAGCTTTTTAAGCACAAATGACGATGAACATAAATTGTACTTGCTTCGATTTGAGATTTGCATAAAAGTTCTGAAGGGAAATATTCATAGAGATTGTTTACACATTACTCATGAACAATAAATGTTTTAACAAGAAATTTTGACGTTTTTAAATAATTAAAAAAATTCATAAAACTTACACACTGCGATAGCTGACGAAATCTGAATCCTCACACCCTTTCACGAAATTACTAAGAATAAGTAATCTGATAATACCTGAAGATACTCCCTACTGAAAAGATAGAAGAACGTCTTTGCTCTAGTGGAAAATGCCCAGACCAAGTAGCTGAACGATGTAATGCTAACTCTGCTGAATGTCCATAAGAATATTTGTCAACATCAAAAACTTCGGAGTGTTCATCTGCAATTTCTTTAAATTTTATTTAACAAATTTTGTCCATTAGAAGACTATAACAAAAAACTGATTACAGATGACTGTAGTAGTCATCTGAACGCTATTCGATTACTAATAACAGGCCTAAGAATCACCATGAAAAACATTAAGTAGGTTGTACCTGCTTCAATTTTTCGAATATAATGGAATTTGAATGTAAAATTGAGTTGGAATAATGTGAATTCCATGCTTACTTTGAGCGGCAATAGGAAACTAAAACTAACATTAAAATTACAGAATTCCTTTAAGTAGTTATTTAGTATCTTACCTTCGCTAGCTAATGATATATGACAATTCCATCCTGCTTCTAAACCCAACTTTTCTGCAAAAACTCGACTGCGCAATTCATTTTCTTTCGAGAAGTAAATAAATCGAATGCAAGCATGATCTAATTGTTCCACCAATTGAACGACGTCACTTCGAGCCTTAAAATTTATTTAAAGAAAAAAAACTAGGAGGCTCGTATAACTATGAAATTTATAAATAAAATATATTAGGCAGTAATGATAACATAAAATAGAATACCCGTGCTGAAAATTTTAAAAAATTGACTTGATGCTGTAGGACAAGCAAACCACATAACGTTTGCCCATGCATTACTTCTTCAAAGCATTCATAAGCGGTATGCAAAGGTGACTGTCGATAAAACGCTTTCAAAAACTCCATATCAAGACTGACGGCTCTTGGAATTGAAGTCCTTTCTATAACTTCATATTTTTTTAGTAACGAAATATCAATATATCTTCCACTAAGAGTATTTGAAATCGTGCAGCCCACTGTTCGATAGCCAAGAACCAAACAGAATCTGGAACATTTTATGTTACATTCTTCCTGAGAAATAGATGAAGCACTCTTATTCACATTTTTAATTATCATACCTATCGCTCTGTTTTTTTTTTTTTTATTATTCAGAATTATTTTCAACCATTTTATAAAGCAAATATGTAATTTGAAGACCTATATGTAATGTATATATATGTAATTATATGTAATTTTAGAATTACTTTAAAAGATATAAAACGCAAAACAAACACACAACTAAGAGTATTAATTAACAAACCCGGTCATTGTGTTGCGCTGATAAAAATCAAGGACGCGTTTATGTAAATTCGGTGTATACGGTTCTAGAGAATTCTCACACCATACATGAGTGCAAGCATTAAGCAGTAAATCAGCTGTTCCCTGACTCATCACATGGTAATACTTTGATGTTGCATCTTTCGTAATTGTCAGAAACGCATTTTCTAACGGCATTCGGAATTTCCATAATCTAAATTTTATCATTATTTATGAATCATAGGAATCGTTAGTATTACTGACAAAAAAGTACCACTGTTAGAATTATTTCAGAACTTGATTACAAAGTAAATGGATCAACATAGTATATACTATCCAAAATAAATACAAAGTGTTTTAAGTTGATATAAACAAAACAAAACAAAAAAAACAAAAACAAACAAATAAATGATAAACTGACTCATTAGCGGATTTTTCTCTTTGCAATCGCTTATAAAAGCCTATCGTTTTTGTATCTGAAGTATTAAACTTTTCTAAGACTTCGTCACCAATTCTGCAAATACTTAAGACTTATACTTCTGGTTCTTCGTCCTTTTTATGATTCAATAATCTAGTTTTAATAAAAGAATTTAACAGAACTCTGTAGTTGTCTAACACTCAAGATTCATGTCTTAAAACTTTGAATTTTACAATAGTTCAGTTTCATTTGAAATAACGGAAGCACTAAGTATTAATAACTTCTTTTCAAATAAAATGTTAGAGAAGTACTGATAAGTCTGTGAACAAACCCTAATAATTGAGTTAACGGACATAAGCAGTGTCGATTGGAAATTGCAATAGTGTTTGACACAGTTTCCGAAATACTGCTAATGTGATTAAGGAATAATGTATAATCTGGCAGTAAAGAGCAACCATTTACAACACTGCTAATTCCGAATGGCAGTAAAGATCCTTTATAGCTCTCCCTGAATTGTTACGCAAGAATAAAAGTTTTACACTGAGATATGAAAGAAAAAATGTTGGTTAATAATAACATGCAGCCAACCATGAAGAATCATCGAAATGTACAGGGAAGCTCCATTCGTCGTTAAATCCAAGATTTTTGGCACCAATTTTCGTTCCTCACCTTTGGAAAAAGTAGTGGAAATTTTTGAAAATTTGAAATACATAGAAAGCATAAACACTTACCATGAACAATTCTCCAACAAGGAAATTGTTCACTATAAGTGAAGAACAAAAGAAAATTTTTAGGAATTCAAGTAATTTTCACCTTCGTCATCAGCGTGAAAACATAGCACCTTTTCGATTGTTGCATTTGGCCATGAAAGTAGGCCTTTCTTGTCCAGGAAAGCACAGGATGTGAGACCACCGCATGTAAAAACGAAATCCATTGAAATGTGAAAATGACCTAGAAATAAACATACACGAATCAAAATTCCTGTTCACTGATTCTTCATATCTATTACTCTAAACTGTAATTACCTATAAAATAATGATAAACCGCCTTGAAGCCATTGATAACTGCTCCTTTTCTGCTTTTATCAACAAAAATACTAGCTGTGGCGGCTTCTGAGCTTAACTTGCTGTATCGCAGATTACAGTCGTCACCCAAAACAAAGCCCGAATTCCTCAACATAATTGAAAATTCCAACCAATTCGAATTTGACAATAAAATATGTGAAAATATATGGAAGTTTCCCATTCAAAAATACAATCGGAAAGAATAACGTTGGAACAAATTTCAAAAGATCAGTGTTGTAAAATCATGTACTGTGGCACGTTCTTCATTACGCAACTATTCATTGGAAGAAACGAAACAGGAAAATTTTCTGAGGCAATATATATATATATAATTCCTAAGCATACCATAACTTTCCAACCAAGCAGAAGGACGGAATCATGGGTCCCAACACAGGAAGAAGAACCACTGATGTATCTACCAAGAAATGAACAGTGTTTTCTCTCGCCACAAAAAAATACCTTAAAATAATTTATAAAAAACGTTTGCATCGAACTTGTTTAATGTACTAAATTGTATGAACTTCCCGAAAACAATGTACTATGAGCATCATCGTGAGTATGAACGGTAAAAAACATCTTTCAAGGATAAAATGAAGTGTCGTATGAATTTCAAAATTCAACAAATTCGAATGTTTCTTGCGATGATTACGAAAAGCTGCGCGTATATGGTCAACAATAGGTGGTTCAACAATTTTCCACAGTGTTGATTTTGATGGAAGTATCTGAAAATAAAAGAAATATCGAACGATTAGAAATTAACATAACATTTGAAAAATTCTATAAAAACAAGAATAAACAGTATGACACAATACCTTTAGCAGTCGTGGTTTATCCCCCAAACCAATGAAGTCACCATGTTGTGATATACATTGGTACGGTGGCGATTGTCCAGCACGAAGTTGTATTATATCACCATCTACCAAAAGCATCCATGGCACATTCACTAACTAAAATAATGTTTTCTTATATAAGGGTTTTTTAAGTGTTTAATTCGTTGAAAAGTTTTTTTTTTTTTTGAAAAAATAAAAAAACGAGTCAGAAACTAATTAAAACACGGCTGTAAACCAAGAATTTAACACCATGCATCATCTATAGAAAAAATTACAAC